ACTGACAGTTTCTTTGGATTTGAGGTAATTTTACTTTTTTTAATTTAAAAAAGTTTCAATAAATTTAATTCTATAATCTAAGTCCATTATCTTCATCATAGGTCCCAGCCGCTTGGCCTCCAATCCATCAAGAAATTGGACCTATTTTACCTGATACTTTTCCAAGCTTATCTTCCGATCTCGACTTATTTCTTTTCGCACATCCTAGAACCATGTATATTGCTCTTGGGACTGTTTTATTTACTACTCCTAAAAATTACGCTATTCTTTTACAGTCCGCTCTTGAATTAATTAATCGAAATATTATTGATGGTGTAATTTGGGCAACTATAAATTTTAATGAATCAGAACTACCTTCGACAATTAATCTTTCTACTGGCGATGTCATACCTACTTCAAATCTCTTAAATAATTTACATCCACATGTTTATATAACAAAGTATGCTCCTCAATTTGCTATACTTTCTCATGAGAATACTAAAATATTTTTAAGTCATGGTGGTGTAAGTAGTAGTCATGAATCTATATATACTGCTACTCCAATGTTAGTACTTCCAATTGCTTTTGATCAACCTGGAAATGCTGAAAGATTGGAACTTGCTGGAATGGCTTTAAAACTTTCAAAACTTGATCTAAAAGTTGATGATATTATATCAAAAGTCGTAAAATTATTGAGTGAAGAAAGTTTTAAGACGAATGCGAAAAGGCTGCAAGTGTTGGCAAAATTTAATAGTAAAAGAAAGTATAGAGGTGCTGATTTAATCGAAATAATGTTGAATATGGCAAAATACGATGGTATTAGAAATGAAAATAATGAACTAGAGGTAAACATTGAGTCCTTGTTAAGATGTTGGATTACTCCTGATTCAAGAATGGGTTTTTTTAGAGGAAATTATTTGGACGTCTTTGGTGCCGCTGTGATAATTGCTTTAGCGTTGATTAGTAGTCTTGGTTATGGTTTTTACAAATCTATTATGTTAGCTTTCGAAAAATGGTGTCTCAGAAGTAGGAGTTTCTCAAAGACTAAGAATGAATAACAATAATTCATGTTTTTATATTATTAGCTTGGGTGTCTTTTTCATATATCTATTAATTGCTGTCATATTGAAATCCGCCATATAGCACATCTCTTAAAAAATGAATAAAAAATGTGCATTTTTCCCATCAAGATTTATATAGTAAAAATTTGATAGTACTAAAGTAATATCTAAAGATGGGTTAATGTATGTGCATTACCATACGCATGATTCCATTTCATTTGCTTGATATTTCACAACTATTCGTGTTAACCATTAATTCAGCCGACATTAAGATAATTTTGGCTCATGACCAACGTAATGCGGGCCGGAATTATGGAATAACTTTTGTGCCTAATTCCAATTATGTTTTAAGTCTAAAAATAAAATATATTATTATTTGTAACGTATGTAAATAATAGAATAACAATTTGAAATTGGGTTTTGTCCAGCAAAAAATGCGTTTGCGTGCGCGTTCATGCGCAGTTTTCCCATTTTATACATGCCTATAAAGGAATTTCTATTATTAATTCAAGTTGACAGTAGGTCAACAGATCGAAAAGACGGCTAAGCAGTGATGCATTAGCAAGCGGCGATCACATGGGTCATTCCGGTTCCGGCAAGAGAATCCAGTATATGCAAGGGGAAGATATGAATTACCAATTTAGGATATGCGATATACCAGATTGGGTTAAAATTGCTATTGAACAAAGATATCATTTAAATATAATTCTTTTCAGGATTGGAAAGAATTGGTAGAGGAGGGTTTGGCACTGTACAAAGTGCTTTTTCGAGAGATGTTGAAAAATTATAGCTTTAGAGTTTAGATTGCGATGATAATGATATTTCGCGAGATATATTTATCAAAAAAATTAAAAATCTTTAATGGTTGCATATCATGATAATATAGTACGATTCTTTGGAAACACACAAGAACCGAACACCGAAAAATACTATATGGTTCTTCAATTCGCTAACAATGGCGACCTTCGTAACTATTTAAGGAATCATTTTTCAGAATTAGATTGGGAAACTAAAATTAGTGGGATTAATTGTTTACACAATGCAAATATTGTTCATCGTGATCTTCATGATAGAATATATTAATGATTGTATTACGATATTATGGCATTACGGCATTACGACATTACGACATTATGGCATTACGGTATATAATATTTACAGCAATCAGGTACTGTGTCGTAATTAATTCTATCAATTGGTAAAATGCCGTAATACCTTAATTCACTAAATCTACTGCAAACTATACCTGTCTGTATAAACCGGGTAAAATCGCCAGTCTAAAAAATTTCGCTAGCCAATCAAATTTCAAGATCAGGTGTATTGTTGCACGATCAGAAAAATTCAAAACAAACGTTTGTTTTGTCAAAAATTGCTCATAACACAAAATTTAGTCTATAAAACTGCCTTCTGCATATTAACAAAAAGTTTTTCTCGCAAAATTTTGGTATAACTATAATCCTTTAAACTTAACCTACTTGCAATACCCTAACCCTAACCTAATGGTGAAATGCTTTTTCTTAGCAAAATTTTTTCTTAGTTTTGCAATAAGATCACATGATGTGCAAAATTTTTTAGACTAGTGATACTAGACTCCTAGCCTGTATAACCCAGGCTGGCCATTAATATGAACTTATGATATTGATATTCAGCAGTTATAATTATAAAATGGCAGGTTCCATGAGCTGTTATTTATGTATTATTAAAGCTAAAACAGGATTGCACCTGGAAATATTGTGCTGGGAGATCACCGTAAGCAGTTGAGTTTGTGCAGCTTAACGCTAGCTGCCTGGCTGCATAATGCAGGCCAGCTATTGGTATAAACATGTGATATTGATGATAATCCAGTAAACAGTATTTATTCACAAGCCAAT